AATTTTTATTTCAGAGATTTCTATCTTAGTTTTTTAATTGTAATACGTTTTGACCTAGTATTGTAACTACCATTTATTAATAATAAATAAAYAAAGTGATCCTAATTAATTATTCATARTAAAATTCTCATTTACAGTTCGATTTACAACATTAATTARTAAAAACTGGGAAAGTGAGCGCCGCGCTCRTACGCGCCTAACTGTGTTACTAACATACACGCGCCTACTGACGGGTTAAAAATATATTTCAAATCTTATCTATACCTACTGTGTGTATAAAACTGGGTACATTCTATTACTCAGTTATCTACATTTCTTAGTAGTCAAATTGCATGAACCACAAGCAGAATTCAAACATATGTACAGGACACYGAGTAATATGAATAATTTAATTATACAGCATACCCTGTTTTTACAGACACAGGGCACATATAAATATATATATAAGCTTACGCATGGTTGTATGGGGACTAACAGACTTGAAAACTACATAACTAATTGACACTAAAATGAGATTTAGGGAGAGAACTTTTTCAACCCATACAGGTTAAGGGGCGGTGCACATATTTATTTCAGTTTTGCTCAAGAAAATCAAATCATTTTTTTTTTTTTTTATGATTATACTGGGTTTTGAACTGAAATAAAATAGCACACTAGTTAAGSGGTTCTCATTATTTATAAGGCTGCGACACCCTATAATGTCACCAAGACTTTTGGCAACCCTCATAGCAATAAAATGTATATGTGTTAGTCAACACTCTGAAAGTTTGAGAATAGCTGGAAGTTATAAGACACAATACATAGCTTTTCAGACACAAAATTTAATTTTAATCAAAATTGCAAGATTGTTCTTAGAGATAATAGTACATTTTTGAGTTTATTTATGATCAAAAATATATCTAATTTATACATTGATCCATCTTAGTCAAATTCATTCACAAAGAGATTTACGAGGTTAATCGTGATAAAATATATATACAGGTTTTTCATAAAGTGTGGCAGATTTTAACCAGAATACATGGATATATGAAGTACTATTTTATTCTCATCTATTTTTCCCTGGAAAAGTCGGGGTTATACAACAAGTTTAAAATATAATACCTATAACAGACCTAAAAAAAATATAGGTATTTATGAAAAAATTATCAACTATGCAGATACACRAATTTTCTTTTATTTCCTAATAAAAAAATTCTAAAACATTTTCACTATTTGTATAATTGAGTATCATTCAAATTGAATAAAAACATCATGATATATAAATTCAATTTAAAATTATGAATAATACTTATTTCAAAATGACTAATATATGGTAATGGACAGATAGAAATATTATGCGAAAATAGACGGAAAATTATTATACCTATGGGAAAAATAAACGGGCCTGATCGAAAATAGATCGATTTCATTTATGTAATTACCAATAATACGATAATTCAGTATTGGATGACAAACCATTAAGATACCTTTGAAGTAAATCGTTAAGGTCCAAAGAAAAAATAAATGAAGATAAAGACGGGAAATTACACATATTTTAAGATAAGGTGTCTAAATATAGGATACCGTCTGTTCATGGTAAGATAGACATCTAACTGAGAAAGTTAAATTTTTTTTACAATATATTAAACGGGTTGACTTCACATCATATTACTTCCCGAGATTTAGCATTTTAGGCATGATTATTATGAATATGCTATTATAGGTTAGGCAAATCAAGTATGTCGAAGATTTATTGAGAACAACAATGAAAAGAGCACCCCGGACTCCAGAGGGAAAAATTTCGACCAACTATAATAAAAGAGTTCATAAAAATATTTGTATGTATATTACCGTGAGACAAGGCGATGGTACACTCCTGTGGGTCAACTGTGAACAATTTACCCTCATACCTAATATCGGCCTTTGATATTAGGCTGATTTTGCTTCCTAATTCCGGCATACTCATCTTGACGAAAGATGTTTAACTATAATTGTTCTTATGGTGGCAAGTACGCGAATTTATCGCGTAAACGAAAACGTCAGTGTGGAAAAATGATTTTAAACACGATATAAACCAAAGAAAAYTAATAAGGACCGATGCGCACGAGACGTATCATACGGTGGAGAAAAAAATACGGCACGCGAACAACAATCGTTACATCTCCAAGCGAAATGAAAATATTTTTTCCTTCACGGAACGAGATACGTACAATGAAGCAAAACGACGCAWATGACGTCAAAGCCTGCCGTCGCCATTTTCATGGTAGGTGTCGATCAGTCTGGCCAACCACCAGATCACATGGTATGTGCGTTTATGGAGGGAATTGCGCATGGGTAGCATTTAAACAACGGAGTACATCGACCACGAATTACATTACGGATTTACGGACTTCATGATCGTTCGCCTATCGCCTTGTCGACAATATTAATTGTACGTCATGGTGATGGTTGCCTTGCCACGATTTAGAGATATCAGATATTCTCTTGCAACGTCGTTGACTCGTTGTCGAAACATAAAATTTTGTCGAATCTTCTAGTCGAGAGTAGGTATAGGATAATGGATAGTGTACCGGTAGCTGGTTAAATTATTTAGAAAATTAATAAAAATCCTCGCCCAAGCGTAGATAATAATTTGAATTAAAAATATTCTAAAACTTTATTAAATAGATCTTAACAAGCTAATGAAAAATTAATTTTGAAGTTTGGTTACAATTAAATTTAATTTTAAATTKTATGGCTTACTGAAATATTACACGAATTTGATTCCCCCGATTTTAAAATTCAATAGCGAAAAATGTCAAAATGATTTTTACTTTTCAGAAGAAATAACTTTAGTTTTTTTGTGGGAATCAATTAAGTATCTTATAGTCAACAGTTAGACATTTTATAAATCTTACCATTTTAATATAATTCTAAGTATTTTAAAGGTATTTACTTATTTGAATGAAATTTGATTTATAAAATTCCCATTTTAAAATATAAAATGTCATATCRATACCTATCTAGCAATTATAATTATTGGCTATTGCCATGTTTAGTTAAATATGTTTTTTTTTCAGCAGGTACCTATTCCTAGTTTTTATTATATCCTGTATATTTCTAAGAATATTTTGTTATATAAATTAAATATAGTTACCTATTAATAGGGGCTGGAATTATATTATTTTGCATATTATTATTTTTTTTTTTTTGAGGCTATGCAGTCAGGCGGGGGTTCGAAATCTTTACAAACCATGAAACCGGTTAATTAATGGCATAAGTTTTTTAGCATATTTGAGAATATTTTGTACAATAAAGAATATTTGTGGATATATCGATTCATTTTCCCGTAACTTTAGTTGACGTCRAACGTTCATTTAGCACGTATAAAAACATATATTATTTACGGTCTGTACAAATATGACACCAGAACACATGGAGCAAAATATAGTTGTTAACTGTTCTGTCTGTTCTAAAAAATTTTCGTCATTAAAAATACCTTATTGTTATTGATATAATTTAATCAATTTTTTTTTATCATGCATTATTTTGCTTATTTTTTGCACATTATTTTTTATCATATACTTATTTATATCAGTTTTTTTTGTATTATTTTGCATATAAATGGATATTTTTATTTCAAGAGAATATATTAATAAAAAAGCATATTTTTCGCATATTTTATTATGATGTTTAAAGAATATTTTCAACTTTTTTAGAGAATATTAGCATCTCATTTTGACTATTTCAAAAGAATATAATTCCGRCCCCTACCTATTAAGATTGTTATTAGTACCTAATGGCCAATATAGTAATATTTTTACTATTCATAAAATGGCSGGTGGAATCAATTTTTGACAAAAACCTATGGTATTATTTCATTTAGTATAACAGAATATATTCCGTCCTATCTGCTAACTTAAAAGTTAGTATTGATTATAGACATCCAATGTTAACAACATAAAATAATTTTCCCCTAAATATGAGTTTAATATGCTTGTAAAAATACCTTTGGTGTATTTTTAATAAGTTGGATGGTATAAGCTATTTTACTTTAAAAAGTTAATTTCATCATTCATAAAAAGTGATTAAATATAAATGTTTATTAACACTAAGAACAAAAATATTTTGAAAATTAGAAAATTGTAATATAAATAATTGATAAAAAATTTAAGTCTTTTTGTTAATTTAGAGTTGCAACAAAATCCATTTTTTTTTTGGGGAAAATAGTATTATTTTAGTWAATAATACTATTTTCCCAAAGAAGAAATTATAGATCCAATTTGCTATGAAAAACCATCCTGAAAKTTAAAAAAATTAGTACTTCAAAAAGTAAACACAAAAACACCAAATATACATTGAAAACAAATACAATTKCCATTGTTCATAATATCTAAAGAATTATTTTATTTTTGGTAAATAGTTACCAGTTTTAGTTCATGTCAATTAAGAAAATCAACATTTTTCGATACATTTAATTTGTAGGTAACCATAATTTATATTCAACTGCAGACTCATTATTTATAACAATATTAAACCATTCACATATTATTTGTAGATCATACGAATTTAAATTCTGGTACTCAATTTAATCCTTTAAATAAGTAAAAATTTTAAACTTCAAAAATATAATACGCATCAAACTTTATTATTTTACTTTTTTATTTTTAAATAGGCTCATGACATAAATAACATGTTGGAGGTTTATAATATGTATTAGGTAACTAACTTTCTTTTGAAAAATAGGGTTATACTCATTTAAAATAATACCTGGTCAATTTATGTGTACAAATGTTGGATAAGTTCTAATGTTATGGCTTTAGCTTTTAGCCAGTTAAAGGGGAAATGCAGTTGATGTCACCTGACCATTGCAACAAGAATACAGAGCCTGGTACCGATGAATTAAATAAAGTATTAACTATTAAGTACACGTTTAATAAAAATAAATGAATAGATAATTAGGTACCTTTTATGTCCTTATTATTTTTAAGCATTTATGATAATTTATAATAATAAATTATTCGCTATTAAGTACACGTTTAATAAAAATAAATGAATAGATAATTAGGGACAATTACAGGAGGATAAGTATAAAAAAAAAACTATGTAACATAAAGAATAAATTTATATTAATCAAAAAAAAAAAATATATATATATATATGCCCAGTATAAGATATGTTAAGCCATTAAAATATACATTAATGTACCAAAATGACGTTGGTTAACAAAAAAACGTCAATAAATTGCTGCTTCTTTGTATTATGTCGAAACCTGAAAATTAATGGTTTGTTCAAGGTTATTAAATAATTAAAAGTTAGATTAGAAAAAATAGTGTAATCCAAATTTTCATTAAAATGTTTGTTGCACGTCATATTTGAGTATACTTATTAAAATGCAGAATAATTTGAATTTTAAAAATAATTCTTTTAAATTGAAAAATTAATATATTATGTGCAAGTGTATGATATGCACTTGTTTCAGAAATAATGTTAACAGAAAATGTATTCGTAACATTGAACAAATTGTAGTGCATTTATTTAATACCATAGTACATGACACCAATTGGTGTCATCCACAGCAAATGTATTAATATTAAATATTCACTTAAAATATTATTAGGTAAATAGTATTAGTAGGAATAATAATAATAGCAATAATATAATATTTTATAAATAATTTGTTTCATTTAATTTTTTATATTTTAATTAATTAATTAAAAACTTATTTATTTTAGATACAGATTATAAAAACAATAGTTAACAGTTTTAAGTTTTAGAACACCATTACAAATTAAATAACAAATTGAAYGAAGTTTGAATCATATAAAGTTGGCATTTGTAACAAGCAATGGAGTACAAGAAGTCAGTTAGTATAATATATAAATATAAATAAATATTTTTTTTTTTAAACTTATTTATAATTACTTTTTTGACTAACTGGAACAGTTATTGAGCATTTTTGAGCAAACCTTTATTCATTTAAGTTATTTTTGGACTACTTTTTGAAGGAAATTTTGTAATTTTTCTTGGTCTCTCTTTAACCACGCAGCATTTAATCGGATAGTTTCACAAGCTTGTTGGATTGTTCTTTCAGCCCCTACACAACCATTTTGCTTAAAGAAATTCTCTACTTCTTCAGCTTTTTCAACAGAAGAAAAGTTTTCTGTAGTATTTTTAACCAAACGAGTTAACAAGAAACCACCCTGAAAAATAAGTTATTCATTTTAAACATATTAATAAAATAAAATAATTTCAATCAATCTAGTCAGAAATGCCTAATCTAAATTAAACTACAATATTTTTTTTTTTTTACCTGGTATTGATTAAATAATTTTGACCAGTTGTCTTGAATGAATTGCCAAGCTAGATCTCTTCCAACTTTAGATCCACCAACAGAAATTATTACAAATACAGTATCTTGTGAACGAACTTCATCCTAAAAACAAAAGAAAATTATATTATCATATTTTGATTGTGAATACTTAACAACTTACAGACATTGCAAAATCAAGCACTTTTTTTAATATATCTTTATTTTTAGATGCTCCCATTGCTCTACATATTCTATCTTTTTCTTCGTGTAAATCAGTTCCTCTATARAGCTAAAATAATAATTAACATTTAAGAGATACTTAATTATGACTCATGAGTGTTGTAGATGTATAATCAATATTATAGTTAACCTGTAGTAATTGATTAAAAGTGGTCTCATCACCAGACGACAAACAAGCTTTATAAATAGGACTTCTCAAATCAGCTACAATATTTTCTTTACCACTTAGGTGATTTGCAAACTTTATCTTGGCTTCAGATATAACATCAGGATCAGCACTAGATACCAAACGGGCCATAATTAAACCTCTCAGCATTGTTTCAAGGTGACTTTCGTTAGGTTGAGGAGTCCATCCCAATTTTGTTGATATTTTTTTTAAAAGAATTCTGTTGTATTGTTTAAATAATTGTTCWGTTTCTCCTTCCACATTTGACAATAATATAGCTAATTTCCCTAGCACATTACTCATTGAGGACCAAACAGAATAATTATCTTCATCTGTCATAGCCAACATTAAACGTAGCACTTCATCTGTACTTGAGAGACCCGCTTGAACTAGAGCAAAAAGATCATCAAGTAATCCAAGACGGTCTAAAGGTGGTAATGTTCTTGACGATATAGATGGTACAAAATTGTTAAGTAATTCTGGTGAATAACGAGTTCTGTAATACCCAACAGTACTT